GTTTTGTGATATTTAATAAGTTTTATAATCTTGAAAGCAGTTGTATAAAACATTATTTTTCATTTCAACCATCGCTGATCAAAACATACTTCAACTCTGCACTGAAGAGTGATAAACTCTTATTTAACTATTGTCCTTGGGATTCCAAAACAGGGTTTAGGTAAAATATATCATCTTTTGATCCTAAATATATGATGATCAAAAGTCTAAAATGTTTTTTTTAAATTTTTCTTCTAAATTAGTTGTATTTGTAGATAGTTGAACAACCATACCAAAGATATGTAGATATGTGGATGGATATCAAGCTTGAGGGAAGGGATTTTGTGGAGTTAGAGGGTTCTATTTGCCTAGCTCCCAATGTTTTCATTTGATGAAATATTAGATTAACATTTTTTTATCAATGACTTTAACAGATTCTCTTACAAAACACATTTATGTCAGCATTAATGCCTTCATGTATTAACATTTTAATTCCCCCCAAATAATACTTAACATGGTCAATTATTGATTTTCTATTACATACCAGTTTATCTTACTAGTTACTTTACTATCTTATTTAATCTTCACAAAACTCTTATGACAATAGATATTAATATTAATATGGCACATAAATGGATAAGATTAGTGAAGGTGGATAAAAACACAGTTATAATAATAATAACAGCAATAATAATATTATAATAAAGACAACCTAAGTTTATGGAGGACTAACTATGGATACTGAACTAAGTGATTTGCATATATTAATTCATTTCAACTCATGATATTAATATCTTTATTCTCTTCACTTTATATATGAGGAAACTGAGACATGACACAAAGGTTAAGCTTGCCTAAGGACAATAGCTAGGAAGTGATTATGTTCTGGCTTTTGTTATGTTCTGACTTTGGAAAACAGTAGTTCTTACAGGTTAGTCATATTAAATAAGACATTTACTGAGAGTAGATAGTATGATTTTGCATGTGACATTTCTGAATTTGTGAGATGAAAGTGAGACTGGCAGTTTTTAAACAAGATATTTTCCTTACCAGTGACCAACAGAAGTACATTGCATCTATTTAAAATCCTCTAAATATAGGGCAGTGTGTGGCAGCTCATGCCTGTAATCCCAGCACTTTGGGAGGCTGAGTGGGGGCGGATCACTTGAGGCTGTGAGTTCGAGACCAGCCTGGCCAACATGGTGAAACACCATCTCTACTAAAAAAATACAAAACTTAGCTGGGCATGGTGGCAGGTGCCTGTAATCCCTGCTACTCGGGAGGCTGAGGCAGGAGAATTGCTTGAACCCAGGAGTCGGAGGCTGCAGGGAGCCGAGATTGCACCAGTGCACTCCAGCCTGGGCGAGAGAGCAAGACATTGTCTCAAAAAAAAAATCCTCTACATGTAAATGAATATTTTCAACAGAAGCAAACATAATCAATGCTGGCTTGGGATATCTTATTTTATGTGACACTTATTTTCATAAATGGGTATTGATACTACCATATCACTTTATCAATTTGTGATCTTTTGTGTTTGACTGAAGACTTTTCTTAGAGAAATTGAGATACCATTTACCAGTCATGAAAAATATGATTTAATAATTCATCCACTTTAATGAACAGGAGCATATTGTCCTTATTGAAGCCTTATTTCTATACATGAAATAATAATTTATAAATAGAAGTGGGAACCAAGCCCTATACTTCAGTTAGACAATTTTTGATGAAAATTAACCATAATAATGGTTAAAATTTATGTGGATATATTATTGCAAAATAGCTGCTAAACTTAAGGTTTTTTTAAAGATTCTGAATTAACATACTGACTAATGAAGACTAGAGACACTAGAGTTGAGAAATAAGGTGTAAGTTTTGTTTTTTAAATCATGTCCAACACTCATCCACTCAGTAAAAGGAAACAGTATCTAGTTAACTTAGATACTGAGTTTTAATAATGAGTAGTAAAAATTGTTGATGAATGCTCAGAAGGGGGAAATATCTGAAAGTATTTCCTATGTAACTGGTGTTCTAGCCAACATTGCTTTGTATTTTTTTGTCTCTAATGTCTTCATTTATGAAGTTTTGAATCATTTTCCATAGAATAGAGATGGCCTAGATTTTGTCTTTTGATTCACACAATTCAGCTACCTATACACATTGACTTTAAGTTGGTCAATAATTTTTATATTATTGAAGTTTGTGTTCTGCTTGAAGTTCGATTACTGTAGTTCCTCTTCCTTTTGCAGAGGTATCAGAGATGGGTACCAAGCATATTTTATTTATCCATTTACTATCCTCATTACTTTAGAGCCTCAGGTTGCACCTTCAGATTACATTTTTTAAAACTATGAAAATGATAGAGTCATAAAAATAATGATAATATACTAGTGGAAGAAAAGATTTTTGTCTTAGGGCCTTGTAGTTCACTAACTGGTATTTTCGTTAGACCAGGGCAGGTAGAATATTATAGAAAGTGAGGCCCTCAACAAAAAACAACCTATCATAAATTCCCTGAAGCATAAAACTGAGAATCAGTAACAGGAGATGATCTCAATTGCCAAGGAACGTATTCAAAGAATGATGATCTTCTGAGGTAACCAGGCCTTGAAATACACTCATTTGCCTTAAGGATTTTATTAGGTGGCTTCTAGGATGAGTTCTATTTTGTATGTCCAAAATAGACTCATATGGCAGAATATTATGTTTTTTTATAATGGAATAAATGGTGAGCCATAGTTCTCAGTAAGCATTAACAATTCATCTGTAAAGCAACTGCTATTTTTGGACTGAACTATAGATATATTGATAAATGTAAATGATGACTAAGAAGCATGTTTACCTCTGTATTTGGGAATGTAATTATTAAAGCAATGTTAAAATGCCAGGAAGTTCTGTCTGTTATGTTTGAGGTGCATAGATGCAAATGGAAGCATGTGTAATAGTCAGTATTATTGAATGAATGAATCTAATGCTGACAGATAAATGGATTTTTGAAGGAAATAACTGTGAATGCAGCAGACCCCAATCCCACTTTTGTGTTTTACTTAAGATATTATGAAAGGGTTCAAAGACAAATTAAAATTTAATTCTATTTAATTTAAAGTGTAAGTATATGCTATATAGTAGTGTGGTCTCTGAGAGGGGAGAGTATAGAATATTCTGAAAACCAGTCATGTCAGATTAGGATCTTTAATTCCAGTAAAACTGGGGATTATTGCACTAAATATACTATTTATTATACAAACTATATTTCTTTAACTGGTATATAACAAAAGTATTTATTTACTCATTCTTGAAACTCATCAGAAAGCAACATATAGAGATGTGGTACTGAAACTATTTGAATCATCTAATGAAATTTGTGACTTAGGGGATCTTAATGCAGTTTAACTATTCTGCTATAAAGCCAGTAGTCTTAGATAGAGGCAGGGTCATGCTTCATATTCTACTGAATCTTCTTTCTACTTTAAGCCCTTGGTACCTGAGTAATAGCACTGCAAAATTCAGAGAGTTGTTAGGTTCAGTGAGAGTCTATAACCTAAATGGGTTCTTAAGGTTACTTCTATCTTTGAAATTCTCTGTGCTATATTCTCCTTGGCAAAACATAAAGAAAATCTACTTTTTGAAATAAGTTGACTAAATATACATAGGTAACTAATTCTCTTTTTATTTATTAAGCTAGTAGAAAAGCCTTTGTAAAGATATGTGCCATAGCCATTGTATTTTAACTCAGCAATAAATTATATCAGAAAGTTTTCTTTACATACAGTTGTAATTTTGGGGTGTTTTTTAAAAAATCAAAAGTAAGATCATTTCTAGTAGCAGCTGTATACTTAAGAGGTTACTGAGCTGATGTTTCTGTACAAAAATCTGACAGGCTTTCATTGTGGAGCACTTATGTCCAAATGTAAAGGTCTAACTTAGGAAGCAGTTGTTTTGGAGGAGGGCCATTTAATGCATTATTTTAACTGCCCTAATTATATATTTCTCCCATTTCTTTTAATGAATTTGGGATGCTTTTCATAGCAAAGACTTGGAACCAACCCAAATGCCCATCAATGATAGACTGGATAAAGAAAATGTGGCAGATATATACCATGGACTACTATGCAGCCATAAAAATGATGAGTTCATGTCCTTTGCAGGGACACAGCTGAAGCTGGAAACCATCATTCTCAGCAAACTAACACAGAAACAGAAAACCAAACACCAAATGTTCTCGCTCATAAGTGGGAGTTGAACAATGAGATCACATGGACACATGGAGGGGAACATGACACACCAGGACCTGTCAGGGGATGGGAGGCTAGGGGAGGGATAGCATTAGGAGAAATACCTAATATAGATGAGGGATTGATGGGTGCAGCAAACCACCATGGCATGTAACAAACCTGCGCATTCTGCACATGTATCCCAGAACTTAAAGTATATATATGTACACATATAAAAACTTCTTATCTTAAAAAAAAGACACTTAATAGATTGTTGGGGGTTTCAAACTTTAGGAGGCTCTTTTTTTCATGAAGAATTCTGAGGAAGATATGTTGACTTTATAATCGAATCTAAAATAAATGAAAGTGAAACCACTACTTATAACTCTTTTCTGCCCTTTGAGGTTTTCTTTTGAAGCCAGTAGAAACTCCATATGTGGAGGGAGATGTGTTACTTAGAACATATTACAGTAAGATTTGATCTCACAAAAGATTAAGTAGAATCTAAAATTTGAGTTTTCAAAATTATTAAGTATATTTACAATTTTATTCCTTAGTTAAAAAGATTAATTTAAAAATATTTTGTGGAATAAAAGGAATTCCCATTAGCAAAATTTTCTATGCAGGGCTCAAAAACAATCTTCTTATATATCCTAAAGGAATTCATTGTTGAAGTAGCAATGTAGAATCTCGTGATATGAACCGCAAGCTTCAGATATTAAAATGATTGTTGAATTTTTTTGGTAGCTTAAATGAGATTGACTACTTGTCAGGATTTTTTTTTTCTTTTTTTTTTTTTTAAGACAGAGTCTCGCTCTGTCGCCCAGGCTGGAGTGCAGTGGCCGGATCTCAGCTCACTGCAAGCTCCGCCTCCCGGGTTCACGCCATTCTCCTGCTTCAGCCTCTCGAGTAGCTGGGACTACAGACGCCCGCCATCTCGCCCGGCTAGTTTTTTGTATGTTTTAGTAGAGACGGAGTTTCACCGTGTTAGCCAGGATGGTCTCGATCTCCTGACCTCGTGATCCGCCTGTCTCGGCCTCCCAAAGTGCTGGGATTACAGGCTTGAGCCACCGTGCCCGGCAGGATTTTTTTTTTTAACTGTCAGGTAAAGACTAACCATTGCATAGAGTATTATTTTTACATAAAATCATTGCCGAGAACAATGGCTTATATAACCCCTGATGTTTTATCCACTAATACCTGAAATGCTCACTATGAAAGAGACTTTATTAAAAATGCAGATGAATTATTTTGGGGAAAGGGAACAAAGCGTTTTCAAACTGGAATAGTGATTCTGAATCCCGTAGTTGGACTCTTAAGCTCTGACTTGGTTAGATCACTTCCATCATAACTGCGTCCTTAGCATTTAGCACCGTGCCTGGCACATAAATGCCAGAAACTGATATTGCTTGTCTCTTGATTTTTCTGGGTTAGAGCTACCTAGAATTTTTTCTCTGTCAATATACTGCAAACTTAACTAAAAGTCAGCAATATTAGTATAACTATTTTGTCATTATCAGTTTATTTTCTATTTTGTTAAAGGATACTTATTAAGTAAAGTGGCCAGGAATATTTTGTTAAAGTTTATTTCTGAATTTATGTGCTTAAGGGCAAATAATAATTTTACCTTAAAGCAAAAGGAAATAACCAAGGATTGCATTGTTAAAGGTTTTCAAAAGGGAGCCATCAAAGTGTTTTAACAATCTTGTTTTTGATTGCATAAATGTGATATGGGAATTTCAATAATGCTCTTCCATATGGTGCTTGCAAATTTGCTGTTTTAGATTGTTTGCTCTTAGCAAAGTATAAGTCTTACATATTTGTGATAAGCATTGAGAGAAGCTACATGTAGTTCAAGCTAACCTTAAAGGAGCCTTAGGATAGAGATTACATGTTTGTCTCAGCTACAGTTCAGAATGCATTGAAAAGACCAGGAAGGCTGATCAAGTTGGCAATGGCACCTAAAGACTGTCCTGATGGATGCCTGAGAAAATGCCTTTTTTGGTCAGTGAGTCAGAAGGTACAACAGCCTGGCAGACTAAATCTCGTCTCTGTGCTCCAGTTGCTCAACTCTAGCTTATTTTGAAGGAAAAGAAAAGTAGTAATCTGGAAGGGACAGGATATTTTTAGATAAGATTATTGAATTGATTATTGGCTCTTCTGAAATGACGTTATTAAATGTCCTCTTTCCAATAATTATTTGTGAAGCATCTCACCCTCAGCCTTCCTTTAAGTTTTTTAGATATGAAAGAGAAGGGGAAAAAAATCAATGTAACAATTATCTCAAACTCTGAAATTCTTCTCTCTATTCACAACTTCCTTATTTTCAACTGTATTTATGCTTCTCTCTGAACATTCTTTGTGTATTCTTTCTGTCTCAAGGCCCTCAATGACATCAGTCATCTTTTATTTCTCTTGCTTTCTTACTTAGTCTTGACCTTGGCTACTTCAGCAATGCCCATAACAGGACCTAGGTTCCATGTCCCCTGGCCCTATGCTTCCTGTTATACCTATATTGCCACTTCCCAATCCTCTTCTACAATCCCCTCTGTCTTCTTTCTTTCACTCCCAGGTTTTGTGAATAAGTAATCTATAGTACCTGGATTTTTTCATCACTTGTTCCAACTTCAACTCTTTTTCTTTTGACTTCTACCAAAATCAAGCTATGGAAATTGCTTCTGTCTAAGTTACTAGTTACCTTACAATCACCACATCTAATGCCTTCACCTTTCTTGACCACATTGTGACATCTGACACTACTGACTAAGCCCCTTCTTCTTGAAATTATCTCGTTTTTGTCTCTGTGACACTGGTGACAAGGAATATATCTTTATTCCTCCTTTCTAATAGATCATTTTAATTATTGTTCTATGGCAGTAGTTCGAACATCTCCCCTAAGTCAGAGTCCTTGTTGGAGGTCAACCTGTGTAAACCAAGATGAATCCAGAGAGGAGGCATGGGGCTGAAAATGAGAATCTGAGTCAAGAGTCATGAATGTAGAGCTGATCGTAGGGGATCTTGGGAAGTGACCTCCAATAGCGCAGAAGTTCCCCCAGCTTTCCATTTTGACAGCAGGCATCCTAATAAAGTCAGACTGACTTAAAAACACATAGTTGGAATCTGGCAACAAGAAACTTGGAGGCTGAGGATGGATTCCATGTCTCCCTCTGTCTACCTTATGAACGTATCAACCAATCCTGGCTTCTCTAATCACTCAGCAGTTGAGAGAGAGGCTGCAGGAGCACACCCTGGGTGTTTCTGAGGTGGGATGCCAACTTCCAAAAATGTTTCTCCAAATCGTACTCCTTCGATCACACAGGGGTGTTGGAATTAACCTTAGTGCCAGAGGAATCTAGTACCTTTTCCTCCATGTATTATACATTGGGTCCTTAGGAATGGCTGAGAGAGGTGTACATGGTGGTAAGTATAGAGGGTAGTGGTGGGAGGCAAGAGGGGCTCTGCACTAAGGAAAGTAATTGTGAGTAGAGGATGAAGAATGTTGAGTTGTGACTTTAGATTTGGCTGTGAAATATTCAGTGTTTTTAGCGGTTTATCTGAATCTCCCCTCCAGAGGGTATTAGGCTAGTTGTGCTAGGGTATTAGCCAGGTTGCTGGTGTGCTGTTAGATTCCTGAATGTGGGATTCCTATTTAAGTTAGCAGGGAGTACTCAAAGTCAGAGAGATAAACCAAGTCAGAATCCATTAAGGAAAGCTGAGATTTAAACACCAGGAATGTCCAAAGAATTGGAGGGAGTGATGGTGTCAAGGGTTTGAAGTTAGGCAGAAGTGCGACTGCAGTGAGATTAGGTGGGGATAAAGTGAGGAGGATCCTAAGTGATTACCCTCACTAGTTTCAAGTATGCTGGAACTTCTTTGTAGTTGATGGATGGATGGTATTTGACTATCAGTAGGTTTGAGGGGTTAGGCAAAGCTAAGAGGTAGTATGAACATGTAGGTAGAAGAATCAGATGGAATATATAATTTTCATGCTTTCTTCTGGCCCTGGTCCTTGTCTATGTATTCTTTGTGTTAGTCTCTTGCTTGCTAGAGGTTATCTGCTGAGTCTTCCTGGATGATATATAGCTGTTGCAGGGATCGTTTGGTAGCTATGGGTGACAGCTCTGCCCAGAGGTTCTGGGAAGCAGCTGAGTGGAACCTGTAGTGTCTAGGATTATATCTCTCCTAATCAGCTGCTCGTTTCTTCAGTGTAAGAGCCATTGCTTGTTTATCTTTGCAGCACTTTCCCAGGGGATGATTTTGAATAAATGACATACTGGGAGGTGTATTACAAAGAACAATGAAATTTTACTATGTAGAAAAGCTTTTTTGTGAAAATAACCAATGTGACATTATTGCTCTACAATGGGCATTTTATGAAATAATGAAGAAAAAATTGAGAATATACTTACATGCATCTGCTCCAAAGTATATTAAAAATGAAATTTTAATTCCCATTTATCCCAAAGGACCACAGTGTCTTATTGGACACAAGATCTTTTTAAATAAAAGTTGATCCACCTTCCATACTGAAACTTTTACATATAAGGTGATATAGTTTAGTGTTCTTTTTAAAAATAATAAACAAATGAATATTTCAGGAAACCTGTGATAGACTGAATCAGGTGGAACTGATTTAATGTTATGGATAATTACATAATTAGTGATGTAAAAAATAAACCATACTATCTACTTGATGGACTGGAGCTGCTGTGAAGGAGGTGTGTAATTATGCAATCAGCATCCTCCTCCTGTGCTGATTCTAGGTAATACTTTTTCTGCCTTGTCTGAGAAGGGGTCTCCTGTCTTATGTTTCCTGATGTTTTTTAAGTGAAGAGAGCTGAGTGTTCAGTAATTCTCAATTCATGAGCTAGTTCTATGTGAGAGCATCCACTGAACCCAATGACTTTCAAACTTTTTAGATATAAACCCAAAATAAGAAATACATTTTACATTAAGATCCAGAACACTCCATACATGCATACCTGAAACCAAGGTTCATGAAACAATTCTTACTCTTTCTGATCTCTCTACTCAATCTATTCTGCGCTGTTTTGTTTTTTAAAAATGCTGGTCAAGGCCCAGCAATTGATTTCAGAACTTACTAATGGCTCATGAGTCACATTTTGAAAATACAACCTTTGACCCTTAGTGGTTGCTAACGTCAGCAGAAGGGATTTGGAAGGTAACGTATGGGTCTGCCAGGGGCTTTGTGTAGCAGGTGGTGTGGCATGGTTGAAAGAATAAGGGCTTTAAAGTTAGGGAAATTTGGTTTTATATCCCTACTTTCCCTCCTTCTGTGTGACTTTGAAAGTGTTACTGAACCTCTTAAAGCCGCAAATCTCTTATCTGGAAAACAGGATCCCAAATACAGGAATTGGGAGGTTGGGAACTGGGAGCTGTATGTAAGCATGTGTGTGTGTAGATGTGTGTATTAAATATCATGAAGTAAAACAGTTGGCTAATGCTGTGAAAGTAAAACACATATGTGGTAGGTGCTTCATGAAGTTTAGTTTCCTCTCCACATCTTTCTCAACCACAGACACCTCAATTGGAGAAGGATGTCATTACAATCCCTACCTCGCAGGGTGGCTGTGAGGATCAAATAAAATGATGGGAGCCAAGGGTTTACAAATGTTCACTTTTATTAATGTAACCTTAAGGCAGCTTTACTGTTTCAGAATAAATCTTTGTGTGAGTAGAATGGTGAGTCCTGTAAATGGTAAGTGACAAAACTAGAAAACAAAACTCGTTTTGAAATTCTGTGTCATAACTGTTAGCAGCAAGAATTGTTTGGAGATACAGTGGTATTGTGTGTTGACACTAAAATGCTGCTCCCAAAACTGTCGAAGGATGATTTATAGTGTTTATAGTGCCTATTATAAATCACAATATACATTTGAAGTTCCATATTACATTCTATATAGAATTTTAAAAACTTTAAAATTATTCCACAAAGGACTTTGCTTCATCAAGACCTGGAAAATGAACACGAAGACAGCTGATTACCCCTTTGTATAAAATTTCTGTCAATTATTCTTTACCCAAAGTAGAATACAATATAATAATTTAATTGTAAG